TAAGGAAAAAAAGAAAGAAGACCCAAATAAAATCAGAGATGATAAAGGAGACATTACAACTGATACTACAGAATCCTAAAGGATCATTAGAGATTACTATGAGCAACTATATGACAATAAATTGGAAAACCTAGATGAAATGAATAAATTCCTAGACACATACATCCTACCAAGATGGAACCAGGAAGAAATCCAAAACCTGAATAAACCAATAACAAGTAACAAGATAGAAGCAGTAATAAAATGTCTCTCATCCAAGAAAAGCCCAGGACCTGATGGCTTCCCTCCCAAATTCTACCAAGCATTCAAAGAAGAATTAATATCGATCCTACTTTAACTATTTCAAAAAATCGAGGAGGGAATACTCCCAAACTCATTCTATGATGCCTGTGTCACCATGATACCAAAACCAGAAAAAGACAACCAAAAAAAAGTAGAGGCCAATACCTCTGATGAACATAGATGCAAAAATCCTCAACAAAATACTAGCAAACTGAATTCAACAACACATTGAAAAGATTGTTCATCATGATCAAGTGGGATTCATCCCAGGGATGCAAGGATGGTTCAATATTTGCAACTCAATCAGTGTGATACATCATATCAACAGAATGAAGGACAAAAACCATATGATCTTTTCAATTGATGCTAAAAAAGCATTTGATAAAATTCAATATCCTTTCATGATCAAAACTCTCAAAGAACTGGTAATAGAAGGAACTTAACACAATAAAAGCCATATATGACAGCCCCACAGCTAGTATCATACTGAATGGGGAAAGACTGAAAGCCTTTCCCCTAAGATCTGGAATAAGACAAGGATGCCCACTTTCACCACTGTAATTCAACATAGTACTGGCAGTTCTACTTATAGCAATCAGAGAAGACAAAGAAATACAGGGCATCCAAATAGGAAAGGAAGAAGTCAAATAACCCTTGTTCGCAGACAATATGATCTTATATCTAGAGAAACCTAAAGACCCCGCAAAAAAAACTATTAGAAGATAAACAAATTCAGTAAAGTTGCAGGATACAAAATCAACAAAATAAGTAGCATTTCTGTATGCCAACAGTAAGCAATCTGAAAAAGAAACCAAGAAAGTATTAATCATCCCATTTACAGTAGCTACAAATAAAATAAAATACCTAGGAATAAACTTAACCAAAGAAGTGAAAGATCTCTACAATGAAAACTACAAACATAGAAGAAAGAAACTGAAGAGGAAACAAAAAAATGGAAAGATATTCCATGCTCATGGATTGGAAGAATCAGTATTGTTTAAATGTTCATACTACTCAAAGCAATCTACAGATTCAATGCATTCGCTATCAAAATACCAATGACATTCTTCAAAGAAGTAGAAAAAATAATTCTAAAATTTATATGAAACCACAAAAAACCCAGAATAGCTAAAGCCACTCAGAGTGAAAAGAACAAAACTGGAGGAATTACATTATCTGACTTCAAATTATACTACAGAGCCATAGTAACCAAAACAGCATGATACTGCCTCACACCTCTCCAGCCTGCCTCCCTCTTGCTGCAGTGACCTCACAGCTGCCTGTCCCTCTTCTTGACTTTGGTCAGGTCTCTTCTTCCCATCTGCTACCTCATCCCTCTTGTCCTAGACCAATTACAATGATTTACTGGCATAAAAACAGACACATAGATCAGTGAAACAGAATGAAGAGCCCAGAAATAAATGCACACATCTATAGTGAATTTATCTTTGACAAAAGTGCCAAGAACACAGGGAGAAGAGGACAGTCTCTTCAATAAATGATGCCGGGGGAAACTGGGTATCCATATGCAGAAGAATAGACCTTTATCTCTCATCATACACAAAAATCGAATCAAAATGGATTGAAGACTTAAATCTAAGGCCTGAAACTACGAAACGAAAACACTGGAGAAATGCTTCAGGACGTTGGTCTGTGGGTAAGGCCTTCTTGAGTAGTACCCCCAAAGCACAGGCGACCAAAGCAAAATTGGACAAATAGCTTGATCACGTCAAGCTAAAAAGCTTCTGCACAGCAAGGCAAACAGTCTACAAAATGAAGGGACAAACCACAGAATGGGAGAAAATATTTGCAAACTACCCATCTCAGAAGGATCTCTTTCTATTTAGGGGGGTCTTCTTTAATATTTTCAACAGTGTTTTGTAGTTTCAGTTTTAATTTCTTTCTTTCCTATCTACATGCCTTTTTTTTTTTTTCCAGCACTAGCAGGCACTTTTAGTAAATGATGTTGAGTAATGGTGAGTGAGAACAGATATCCTTGCCTTGTTCCAGATCCTAAAGGGAAAGCATTTAATCTTTTATCATTAGCATGATGTTGGCTGTAGGTATTTTTGCAGATGCCCTTTTTCAGATTGAGGAAGTTCCCTTCTGTCCTTAGTTTTCTAAGAATTTTTATCACGAATAGATGTTGGATTTTGTCAGATGCTTTTTCTGCATCAATTGATATGATCATGTTGTTTGTTTTCTTTTGATTGTTAATATGATGGGATTGTCTAAGAGCTAGGGAATGAGAGAATGGAGAACAGGGGGGAAAAAGAGGAAAGAGGGGGCCAGGCATGGTGGCTCATGCCTGTAATCTTAGCACTTTGGAGGCCGAGGCAGGAGGATTTTTTGAGGCCAGGAGTTGGAGATCGGCATGAGCAACATAGTGACACCCCATCTCTACAAAAAATAGAAAAATTAGCTAGGCGTGGTGGTGTGCGCCTATAGTCCTAGGTACTCAGGACGCTGAGGCAGCAGGATCCCTTGAGCCCTGGAGTTTGAGGTTGCAGTAAACTATGATGACATCACTGCACTCTAGTCCGGGTGACAGAGTGAGACCCTGTCCCAAAAAAAAAAGAGAGAGAAATAGGGTATTTGCCCTACTCTCTCAGTGAACATTCAGAGACCCCTTTCTGTCTTTAAGCCAGTCTTTTCCTGGAGCTCCATTCATGCACGTGTTCACTCCTGGCTTCAGGCTGCCCTGAGTCCAGGCTGGAAGATTATGGAGGGAAAAAAATGATAAACTGACTGCTGGTTTGGTGGTAATTTGAATTCTGTACTTCCCCAAATTTGTCAGCTACTATTTACTTTTCATAGTTCTTAAAAGCTACTCCCTTTATTTGGTCCAGGTCTAATAGCTGTATTCAGTAAGGGAGACAGGGTGGAGTAGCTGAGATTTCCATCTCACCTGAAATTAATCTTTCCTTTTTTTTTTTTTAACAATCTACAGGCATATCATTCAGTTGACTTGATGACTTGCATAATCTTTAATTTTGAAATATTTAGGCTAATTTGAGGTCAGATAATAAATTTAGATATCGTGATAAATAATATTTTCTATTTATATATAAGCATTAATTGCTGTAAATGAGAAGTACATAATACCAAATTATAAGGACATTTTAAACTGATACACTAATCCTAAGAATTTATGCCTTTGACCGTATTTTGTGTTATAATGTTGCTTTGAAACACTATGTTTCGAATTTCGAGTGTAAATATTAGAAAGTTTTAAAGCTGGTGGCACTACTCTGCTCAGTCCACTCAGTGAGATGCCTGCATGCCCAGCAGGTATCTAGGTGGGAGTTTCCGCTGGAAGGCTCTGAGTGAGTCGTGGAGCGATCAGAGGAAACGTAGACCTGGGAGTGGTCTTAAACTGGTGAAGCTGTGGCAATGTGTAAAGTTAGTTGAGAAAACAGAATTTTAGGAAACGCTTTTATTGTACAGAAGAAAAGGAAAAGAACGAAGTTGGGGGAGATCTCTGGTTAGAGAAGCAGAGGAGAAGCACCCTTGTTAGGGGTATGTAGGCCACCAAATGCCGGGAAGAGGCAATCTTCAAGAACATGCAGTCACTGCAGGAAGGGGTGTTGAGGATGAGGGTGGAGCAGTGGCCGTCAGTGTGTAGTTTGACCTTGGAGAACTGTTTCAATCAACTAGTAAGGAAACAGAGGAACGAGAAGATAGGAATAATATTCCCTCTGAATATAAATTAATAATATTTTATATATACATTTTAACTCCATTTGATTTTAAATTCCTAGACCATAAGGGTAGTGTTAATATATCTTCATTGCCCGTAACTGTGCTGCACATGGTAAACATCCGGCTAGGATTTTTGCTCATCTGAATAACACCTGTTGCTAGCAGCATCTGCATGCTTAGCTTTGGTTAAGCACTTGCGGAGATTGTCGGGTGAGGCTGGCAAAAGTGAAAGGTGAAATGCTCTGTTGAAGAGTTGCCATCCGTTGTTTTTAACTCTAAAGGAGACTCATTTGTTCTCATATTTAATTTACTCTTTATAGGTTTTATAGTTCATCTACTTCTAAAACTGACTTTGAGGTAGCTTAAGGGTAGCTAGAGCAAAATATAAAAGCATGTCTTTAGGATGTGTTCCCTCAGGCAACAAACTTTTTTTTTTTTTTTTTTTTTTTTTTAAATTCAAGAGCTAAAAAAAGGCTGAGCACAGTGGTTCACACCTGTAATCCTAGCATTCTGGGAGGTTAGGCAGGAGTATCACTTGAGCTCAGGAAGGAGTTAGAGACCAGCCCAAGCCAAGAGCGAGACCCCATCTCTACCAAAAATAGAAAAAATTAGCCAGGTGTGGTGGTGTGTGCCTATAGTCCCAGCTACTCAGAAGGCTGAGGCAGGAGGATCACTTGAGCTCAGGAGTTTGAGGTTACGGTGAGCTATGATGCACTCTAGCTATAATGCACTGCGCTCTAGCTCAGATGACAGAGTGAGACTCTGTCTCCAAAAAAAACCTAAAATATCTTACTAATGTGCTTTTTTTGCTGTTTTTTGGAATGGAAAATGTAATCTGTCCTCTGAGCTTCCCAGTGCTCTATTTGTCTTGAGTTACTTTAACTTGGTTTTCTTTATTCTACAATATTGCTTTAGGGGCAAGTAATAAATACTCCGTTCAGTGTTTTATTTCGGATGAAAAATTGCTGCTTCTTAAACCTGCATTTTCTGTATTTTTTTTTTTTTCCTTTCTCTAGGATCAGAATTCAGGCTATAAATGAAATTGGAGCCGGACCGTTTAGTCAGTTCATTAAAGCAAAAACTCGGCCGTTACCACCCTTGCCTCCTAGGCTAGAATGTGCTGCAGCTGGTCCTCAGAGCCTGAAGCTAAAATGGGGAGACAGTAACTCCAAGACACATGCTGCTGACGACATGGTGTACACACTACAGCTAGAGGACAGAAACAAGAGGTGAGAGGGGTGTAAGGACGCATCCCATGGCTTTGGCTTGTGGGGTGAAATCTTCCTTGTTCATTCTTCCTTACTTGTTCTTAATTACTTGCTCCAAAATACTCTTCCTTCTTGTTCAAAGATTTCCCATGTATCTGAGTCCTGCGTTTTATACCCTGAGTTGTACCCTCTGTTCTCTGTTTGCAATTTCTAAACATTCTAAAGATCCTGGTTTCCCTACATGTGATAACATGTACTTTTTTTTCTTTCACAAAGCCAGATAATTGAGAGAAATTATCTAAAAAGAAAATTGTCCAATTCAAATGCACACTATTTAATAGCTTTATATTAGTCATGCGTGCAGAGGGAAATAAGACTCAGGAAGAGATGTTACCTCTTTAAATATTCAGTAACCATCAGGACAAACATGTTTACCAATCTGAAATAGCTGTGGGTGATGTACAGATGGGGATTGTACTCTGTAACTATGGGCAATGCAATATCAAATTAACCAGAGCAAATAGGAGATTCTTTATAAGACTCCAGGAAACACTCTTGGCTATAGAAATTAAATCCAGCCTTTCACATAGTATTTGTTTAACCTAATTTCATTTCCTCTGAAAATGGCCGATCAGAAGACAGGCAGCCAAACTGTATTTAGAAATAATCAGATGTCAAGCAAAAGTTAGTGGTGACAGAATGTTCTGTTACTAAAAGTCCTAATCAGAGAATCAGCGTAGGGGATAGGAGATCACCATAAAACCAAGACAGCCAACACGCTGCTACTTCCCTGCTGACTTACTGAAGCACAAACCAGTGTTAGTGTGGAAGCATTTCTGTCATTTCCTTTTGTGCATTACAGTATTCTGTTCCTTTACCTGGGGAACCGGTGCTAGTTGCCCAGAAACCCCCTGTCTGTTCTCCATCCCCTACTCTGTAGTCAGGCACTGATTGATATCAGTGAATCCTGTGGGCCTTCAGTGAAGACCAAGATCAAGACAAACACAAGGCCTGGTTCCAGCAGCATAATATCAACTCACAGATGATCATAGAGCATTAATACCATAGGAGAAAAGTGCTCTGGGAGTTTGGAAGAAACAGAGACCATCTTGTTGCAAAGATCAGGAAAGATTTCTTGAAGTAGGTGACATTTGAACTTGACTTTGAAGGACCTAGCAAACCTGATAGATTGACAACAGAAGAACAAAAAGTGATTGATTGTGCTATTGGAAACAAGTCCTAGTGTAGAAAGCACAGAGAAAGTAAGGCTTCTTTTGATAGGTGCATTAGAGATTAAATTCATACTCATATAAGACCATTCATCTTACTGTGCTTTGTGCCTTTGGATATGTTTTCACAGGCTCATTACTTTACTGGCAGGGGACTCCTCAACCAGAGAGGGCTGGCAAGAACAGGAGTTATGAACTAACAGAAATCATATATAGCTAAAGCCAGCATTGGAGGAAATTTTTAAATTAGTCTTCTTTTTTTTCCTCAGGCTTGTGGCTTCCATTGGTGGTAGAGAGAACCTTCCTTAGAGAATATCTTCTAGTTGTACTGTTTTAGAAAAAAGTGAAGCACAGAAGAGTTGTTGAAGCTGGTAGCTGAATTGAGATTAGAGCCAGTGCTTCCTGACTCTCAGTGTACTGCCTCTACTGCTGTCTCCAGAAATGTGGGAAGTGACTGCTCTGCCCCAAGCCAAACACCCCCATCCTGCTGCAGTCCTGCCCTGTGTGGGGCAGCCACCCAGTGGTGCCTCGTACGGACAACTGTACAGATGTGTAGTCTGATTCAAAGTTTTATGTTATACAGCGTGGCTTCTGGGCACAGAACAAAAAACCCATAAGCACTTTTCCAAATGAGTATGCTGTTATGAAATATTTAAATATGCCAGATAGAAAACAGTGCAGAATCTGGTAATCAATACATGTTCTGTCCTCAGAAAAAAAAAAAAAGCCAAAGGGTTGCCTGGTTAATCAAATAAGTGAGTTGCCTAAATTTAAATGGCAATTTAAGAAAACTTACCATTAGGAACAGTATTTTTCTTAATTTTATAAGCTAGAGTCCAAATTTATCTTTTTAAAATTAGATTTGTCAGTGCTCTCAGAAAGTTATTAAAGTGATGGAAATATAGAACAAAATGAATTCTCATTCTATTTGTATAATAATTTTCCCAAGATTTAATAGAATGAAAACAGCCTAATTTTAGTTTGAAGATGACCTTCCTCAGTGTCTTGAAACCGAACTTTTGTAGTGAGTAGCCCTTTGTATCCAAGCCTTACACTTTGGATCTTGACACAAAAGAATCGAGAAATAATTTGAGTTGGACACATCATAATACTCGTTATTAGTGTAGTCTTTGTCAGTTCTAGTCTCCTTCAGGTTCTTTAGGACCCGGCCTCTCCACTTGAAAGGTACAGTATCGTCTTCCTAAGTGGCAGCTATCTTTTCCATTGAACTTGTTATTAGAGGAGTTTCTAGTTGTGGCTCTTGGGCGAAGTACACATATTCTTTAACATATATGTGAATTTCGTTAACCACCAATAAATTCTTATTATTAATATGGCACCAAAAAAAAAGCATATATCCTGCTTGTGGCCAGGGCGAGAACTAGAGATAGATTTAACTGTGGTTTTACTTTCTTACCTGTGAGCTCTGAAAATATTTCTTTTGCCGTGAGTGCTTTACTAATTGTCATCATGGACGTTTGGAAGGAAAGTTGTCTTGAGTTGTATGGCTGTCCTAGTCAGCAGTGATAGTATTCCTAACTCTTAAAATGTATTTTGCAACAGAAGCACAACGAACTTTAATAACTCCATGCTTGGTAATAGTCAGATTGAAGAGTTGTTGATTTTGGCCATTAAACTATTGCTCTCACATTTTCCTCATCCATAAAATAAAGGGATTAAAAGAAGAAGTTAGAAGATGATTTCCCACCTTTTTTCACCTTAAAGCAACAAATCCTTATAGATTATTTGTGAACTAAGTCCTTTATGAAAAGGTATCCCTTGCTGAGAAATGTTATCTCTTTTTCTTCATATTTTTAGCCTCTGCTATTCACAACTAGGAAAATAAGATACTAACTTCCCTTAAGAGTGACAACTTAATGTCCAAAACCCCTAAGGTTTTGCGTCTATGTGGTGCTAATTTATGATGTTTATTTATATACCTCTCAATTTAAAAATTTGAAATGACCAGGATATTTACAGATATAATGCTTGGCAAAAAATATATATTTAAACTTTCTAAGGGAAATTTCTATTTATTGTGTACCTACATAGTGCCAAGCATTGAGAGATTTATCTGCATTATTTAGGTCTTGAAGAAAAAGTGAAATAGGTTTTAGAAAGACAATGGGATTTCTACCAAAGCCTTCCACCATTTAGGTGAAAAAATACATTGTTTTTGGTAAATTGAAATGATTTTAACTTACGATTATTGGAGTTTTATACATGCAAATAAAGGAAATGTGCTTAAGGGTTGGATAGACAAAGATGACTAAGATAATGTCATATATCCCTGCCCTTAAGGAGCAGTTCCGTGGCAGTGGTAGAAGAGACAGATGCATTAAAAGCAAATGTTGATGTGGAAGGCTTGAAGATTGACACAGGCACTGAGTGTGGAGGGAGAATAGAAGAATAGCATCTAAGATAGGCTTAAAATTAAATGAACAGAGAAGGTAACAGATTAGGTGAGTCAGTCTGAAAAGGATCCTGATCTTGTAACCTCATGCCTGAGAGCCTTACAATGGAGACTAGTGATAAGGAGAAAGGCTTGAATGGAAAGTGTGGACAAAATCTCCAAAGCCCTGTATCTTTCTCCAAGTAACTACTTCTTTCTATTTTGGCATTTCTAGATCTGGTGCTTTTTTATTTTTTTTTTTTAAGATGGGCCCATTTCATGTAAGTAGAAAGAATCCCAAAGGGCATCTTGCTCAAACCCTTGCCTCAATGTAAATCAAACTAGAATTCATCCAGATCACCTGGATGGACTTGCCGTGTTGAAAGTTTTTTTTCCCCTTGAATAGGACATTTGTTTCCCATGTATTCAAGCTTTTGACCCTCAAGATTACCAGTCTGTAATTGTATAGCAGCCTTAAAGCAGTGTTTCATATTTATAGGACTAAGTTTATACCAGTGATTAGATTATATCATTCAGTCAGCAGTTTTTTCTTGAATTACTACTGTGTGCTAGGCTTTATGAGGAATGTACCCTATCTGTGAGAACTTATCTTGCTCAGGAAATAAATTAACATTAGATAATGAGCCAGATAGTATAAGAGATTTCATTTAATTTCAACAGAAAAACAAAAATTAAATTAGTTTAGCCTTAGAGTGATTAAGTCTATTATTCTTAACAGATCCAGCACAGAAGACCTGAATGTCTTTGGTTTCCATGTGTACAAGAAAAATATATACCAGAAGTAAACATTTTCATAACACTGCGTTAACCTAATACAGGCACTGGAATAACAGGATCAGCTCGTTTCAAGATTATAGCGCTGTACCAGTGATTTTGAAGATGTGTTTATCTGTGTTACTGAAGTGAAATGTTGTGCTGCCCTGACAGAATTGGAGTTGATGCTGATCGTGGTCCTGACCCCCGATAATTGTACACAGCGCTGTGGCGGGAAGAGCATAAATTCCAGGAATGCATTTATCTGTTTGATCTGTTGTTCAGGTTTAGTCAGACAGACAGTGTTTTTTAAAGCAAGGCTCCAGCAAAATTGAGCTGGGGGAAGAGGGATCTAATAGAGTGGATAATTACCACTTGGTCTCCATTAACTCAGCCCTTGCACCCGAGACACTTTTCCCTTCAGCCAGCAAAATTGGAGGGGCTTTGTCATGTTTTCAGTGTGACCGCATGTTGGCTCTTAGAGAAAAACAGAAAATAATCTGCGTAGAGAAACCCTGAAAGAATACACACAAGGCCAGGGTATATGGGCCCTGGGGAAGTGAACTTTCTCAGCGTATGTCTGTTATAGAACAAACTCCTGTTTAACGTTTCTCAGAGTGTGTTGC